AGGTTGTCTGCCACGGCTTGGCGGAGGGAAAGTTTCCCTTTCCCCTCGTAACTGTTTTCCCCGAAGGCGGGCGTGGATTGTCTTTCAAGCATAATTCTTTATGCTATAAAATCCCATGTGCCAGAAGGGGGGTTAAAGAGGTCCTGGTCACAGGTCTCTTAAACTTGCCTTTACTTCTTCCTTTGTCAGGTGGCTTTAAAAAGGATGGGTTACAGCCTGCTCAGCCTAGCCTAAGGTATTTTTGCTTCTGGTTTCAGACTTACGTTTCACTGAAGAAAAAAATTAATGTATGTTGTATTGGTGCTACTTACAGTTAATGCCTTGTGATACTTCCTACTGGAAGGGCTTATTCTGCTTTCAGAGTTAGTCCACCCATAATCTGAAATGATGCTTAAATCTGAAAAAGCTAACAGATTTTTTTAAGTCTATTTCTCATCCCTCTAGCAGTGGGGGAATACAGAAGTTGAAAACTTACTACTGCTGTTGGTTACAGCATTAGTTCCAAGTGTCAGAAATCTCTCAACTCTGCAAGTGTCCCATGAAGGAATTAGTACAGTTACATATAAAAAAAATTGTTTTTCTTCAAAAAACGTTGCAATTGCAGAGGCAAGCACTCATCAGCTGGAAAGCAACACCTGACTTAGGAGCCTTGCAATGGAGGTGATGCTGTCCTATCTTAAGCTTGCAGCATTTCTGTAGGCTCAGTTTCAAAGGCTGTCAGCCAGGCAACTTAATAAAATCCTCTCTTCTGGGACAGGTTTTACATGAACTGTGGCAACATACACAGGAACTACATGCAAGAGAAGGGATGTCCTGACATAATTTATTTGCTTTTGTAGGCTATTTCAATCAGAAAAATCATCCAATTACTAACTATGCTGGAGATGGCTAAATAACGTTTAGCTCTCTCTTGGGAACCGAACTGTTACTACTGAGCTATTTTCCATCTTTCTTAGCAGTCTTCCCTATCAAGTATGAATTGATTACTAGAGGGTAGGAGATTTTACAGTCCCTTATCTCCTGTTTGGGTAAGAGCACCAGATGTTATTGGCCTTGAAAGAGATAATCATTATTCTTATTTTAAACAGGCGTGAGGCGAAAGGTCATGATGAGGATGGAAATGAGCTACAGACGACACCAGAGTTCAGAGCACATGTTGCGAAGAAACTGGGAGCAATGCTAGATGGGTATTGGCAAGCAATACTAAAAAAGTTTGTTCTATGGGTCAAGTACACTGATGCTTGTGTGCTAAAACCAGGAAATTCAAGATCTGAGTGCAACCTGGATATGGAGAAGAAGTTGTTTCTCTTCTTGTCTCCTTCGCTCCTGTATTTAATGCAGACTTCCAATATTCTGTGAACTTACCTAGCCCATGTGCTGTGCCCTTCTGGTAAAGACTCCCTGTGCGTTTGCCTCTGTGGTGAATGGGTTGTGGGGAGGAAAAAGTAGAATTTGGGTGCCTTAGCACTTTCATCATTTAAAGGCCAGCATAAGAATCTTTCATTTATTCTTACAACCTAAACCAGTATCTGATTCAGGGTTGTGCTGGCAGTATGCCTGTGACGGGGCTGCCACTGTCTTTATTTATTGTGTAAATATGGCCCCCTAGAATTCCTGGTGTTTAGAGTTGGCTTTAGAAATGCTGCTTTTAAGTCATTCTTGTGGCATGCGTTGCTAAGGAGAGAAGGCATGGTCTGCTCTGAAAGCAGGGAGGTGAGGCAGCTTCACTAAGAAAAAAGTAAGAAGCTATGTGACATCTCCCTGTAGTCTTGTTTCCTGGAAACACCCGACTTTAGCTCAGTTTGCACAAACCTGTCTTAAGATCTGACTGGGGTTTTCTGTTTAGTTTCATCACTGTCTTGAAGGACTCATCAGGACCTTCACAAACTTCTGTGCAACAGTCTGACTCTGCAGATGATGGTGAGTTCTAGTCACAGCCATTATGGCTGGTTTATGACATTGTTAGTTAAATGACGACAAGTGGGATGGATCCTGTCCATGGCCAGCTGTACACCCAACTGACTAATAAGTAGTTGCAATAGAAGAATTTCTCTTAGCATCCGTAAAGGCTGTTACTTTGAAGCTGTGATCTCTGTGCCCTAACTCCTCTCAGATGGTCCCAAATAATTGCTGTCAAGCACTATAGCAATACAATAACAGCAGTGAGGCTTCCCAGGGAGATTGCTGTTGATTGCTTTCACCTCTGTTTTATGTCATGGCTAAAATTCCCTTTTACATATTTTAGGTTTTCGCCTCTTCTCTTCCTCTGTCCCAGGAGACTGTGGGAAATCGGAGCCTTGCCCTGCAGCAAGGAGGAGACAGCCATCTAGCTCCAGGTGGGGTGTTGTCAGCTGCTTTGCTCCTGAAGTACTATTGCATCCCACATCTCAGAGGCAGCTGGGACTCTCGCAAGGGAATAGGAAGCTGAAGAGCTTGAGAAGTGTGTATGACTCCTATATTTGACTAGAGCAGATTTTTTTTGTTCATTTCTTTTTTTAGTGCCAGGGAATTAGAAATGTTTGTGGGAGATGTTCTTTCCCCTCCTAGTATGTGTAAAGAACACCTCAGCCTTCAAATTGGTTATATGCTAACTTGTATTGGAGTCCCAGAGCCACTGGGTGTTTATCAGGTGTTCTCATCTTAGATTACTCTGCTGTTTGTGCTTTGGGTGAATTCAAAGCAAAAGTGTAACATAACTTCCTTTCCTTTTTGTTACCTTTCTAGTGACATGGACAGTGACCAAGAGTGGCAAAAGTACCAGGAGGCTGCTGTGTCAGCTGCAGACATTCTGAAGCAAAGTACTTTTCCTGCACTGTCCCAGGATTCCAGCCAAAATCAGAGTCAGGGTTATGTAGAGCACAGCCAGAAAAAAAAGAAGAAAAAGAAAATGAGGGGAGAGAATGATATTCAAGAGAAAATAATAGACCCAGCAGAGTGTGACCAGATCAGCAAAGATTTGCCACAGTTGGTGTCTGCAAATGGACAGCATGAGAGACAGGACAGCAATCATACAGAGAACTCAGTGTTGCCAGGAGTTGTGAAGAAGAAAAAGAAGAAAAAAAGAGAATGAAGATTTTGCTCTGCAAATGGCAGGTGATTATGATGGATGAAGGACGCTGAAAAAAAACCTAACAAAAAGAGTTGCTGCAGATGAGGGAAAACTAATTGGCAAAGCTTCTGTTCTAAAAGCTCAGTGGCCTGAGAGTCTGATTAAGTGACTTCCTATGTTGTTGGCATCCCCTGGGGAAGGGAACCTTGTTCTCCTAGCACAGCAGTTATCTATGCTGCTGCTTACGCAGACCTAGCGTAAAAGGATTAAATAGTGTGCACAGACTTGCATGACAGAGGGATATAATCATAGCTGCATCCCTCCTGGTCTGTTCCTTCACATCATGAAACCAAATTTTGTGTCCTGGAGAAAGTATATGATGAATTGAATTTAGTTTACATGGCAACAGGTGATCAACTCCTTTTTCTCTTTGCCTCCTCCTAGATCCCTACTAAGAATAACTCCAGCCTGTGGGAGACTCATTTATCAAAAGCATCCTGTCAGATATCAGGGCCCCCTTATTTTTTTCCTGTGATCATCATAACAATCTGTTGTTGAAACCTGCCATGTTACTAATCCCTCTGTAATCTGCACCTCTCCAGGGCCCCTGCATATAAACAGAGTGTGCATTGAGCTTATTTCAGGGTTGTTATAAATAGGTAGTTTTGTTCAAATTGTGTCCTTTTAATTTTTTTTCATGTATAGTTTTTGATGGCATTTGTTGTTACTAAATTCTACTACGCTATTAGTCCTATTTAATTTGGCAGGTTTTGTACAACAGTGGCTTCCTTGCTGTATTCAGATGGCTCCCCCAGCAGAGATAAAGATGGCTGAAGATGACTCTTTAGTTGTTTGGTGATCAATGCTATGAGATAGCTACAGGAAGGACTTAAGCCTAACTTGAAAGTCAGTGCTTTTCAGTCCTTATTTTGGTTGATTATGACTTTTGTCTCTCTGAAATACAGTGGGTTTTGGTAGTTTTCAGTATGGCTCTTAGTCCGTTTATACTTCAGCTCCAGTATTTCAGGAAATGACCTGTTATTGGATAAATACTCTTCTTCTGTTTTTAAGGTTGTTGGGTTTCAGTAGCTCTAAATCATTTGCCCTATTCAGGAGACGAGAAAGCCAGATTAGAGAAACTGAAACAGTGAACTGTTGCTCTTTGAGCGTGGGAAAACCCAAGATGTTTTCTTTCTTACTGTAAGATCCTTGCTCTTTTTTAATCAAGAAAACACAGTTGGTATCCAAAAATGGAAAGGCTAAGTAGAAAATTGGCTTGTAATCTAACTGAATGTGCCAGAAGAAGTTACTTGTCTTCTGGCCAGTTAAAACTTCAGTATACTGAAGCTAGCACCTGAGGTTTCAAATGCACAGTGGTCTAAAAATTATCTTTTGTCTTGTTTTATGATGATTATTTTTATGTTAACTGGAAGTTACATGTATTTGCAAATGATGCACATGGGGGATCAGGAAACATTTCTAGGATAAAATTCCTCAGAGAATCTAGTTACTGAAATTAGTCTCTGATAGTTGATAGTATCTGGAGGAAGAGCATATCAATACAAACTGTAATGGACATCTGCAATTTTGAAATTTCCAGATACGGTAACTGAAGAGTTCGCTGTTGGGCTTTTTCTTTTTTAATTCTCCCTTATATCTCAAATATCAATACAACTGTAATGGACATCTGCAATTTTGAAATTTCCAGATACGGTAACTGAAGAGTTCGCTGTTGGGCTTTTTCTTTTTTAATTCTCCCTTATATCTCAACCTTTTAAGTCTCGAGCACTTTCTAGTCTCAAGGATTTTCATCCATTTCACAGTTGAAAGAATAGCTCTGTTTTGGTCACAATGACAAAAACATGTTAATTAGGGCTTTTTTCATGTCTGGCTAGTGACATATCAGTGATGTGAAGGTTGAGAGTAAATAGAGAAGAGAGGAATAATTAGAAGAGGAATTATATAAGTAGATCCTTAGGGCTAAAAACCTTCACTTAGTTCAAGAAAGACTCTTAGACCCCAGGGTAATTATTTGCATATCAAGAACTACAGAATCTAGCCTGTAGGGAAGCTAAGAATGAACTGTGTTCTGTAAAATTAATTCAAGCTGACATCTTTACAGAGAAAACTGAAGGAACCGCTGCTCTTTGTGGAGCATGGGAACCTCCCAGGTGTTGTGCAGCGTCAGGGACCTGTGGAGAATGCCATCCCCCGGCTCATTCAGCAAGATGCACAAGATGAGAATCCACATGGTTAATGCAGAGAACTGGAATCTCCTTGCTGCTGTTAAACTTTAATTTCTGCATTTAAAACAAAGCAGAGCTATATCAAAAATAACCAAGCCATTTCCACTAGGATAGCATGATTTTAGAGCAGGTCATTTTTAACTGAGAATGTTTGGTATTTTTGTAGTTAATTAAAGGATTTGTAGCTTGTAGTCATTGATCCCATACTGACAGGTTTGTGCCAAGCCATTCCTGAATCTGTTTCTTGGTGATTTTCATTGCAGTCAGGAACCAGGTTCTCTCACCCTTGCCTCCAAGATACTATTATTTCTCATAGTTCCCATTGGTGCTTCTTTACAGCAAAGGAGGTGAGTGTTTTAAAGATGGTGCCCTTCTTTGGTAGCTCAGCTTTGCTCTTTCCTACATGGCTTAGTCTGGTGTTGGCAGGTTTGTTACAGGCCCAGCTTGATGAAGGCTGAGCAGAATTAAAGTCCCATCCATGCCCTGGCATTTTTGCCATGTTGCGTTCAGATCCCTATCTTGATGGGATTCTTTCTTGGGCAGCCACAAAAGGATGTCTGGTCATCCTAGGCTGGCTCGTGGGGTTTGGGTTTGCTTGGTTTTTTTGGGGGGGCAGTGGATTTTAGCAGTGCCAGCATCGTCTTTCCATGGCTTCTGTCTTGAAGCCGAGACATCTTCTCTCATGGAGGCAGCTGAATAAGGGATTTGTATGAGGCAGTAGGGGCTGGAGGCTGGCTGAGCGCAGCAGCCTTTCCTTCCCGTGGAAGGCAGTGGTGACAGTGATGGCAAACAGAGTTGGAGTTGCACCTGACAGGTTGGTCATGGCAGTCACCCTTGAGCTAGCTGTCTTGATTACTGAGTGGAGGATGCCATCTGCGTGGAGATGAAGGTCTCGATGACATTGTGAGTGGATGGCAGCAGCTGACTGTGGCTGTTGGCGGAGTCAGAGCTTTGGTACAGCACCAAGCTGCTGGAGGACACTGTCAAAGGCACAGGCAGAAGTTAAGTACAAATTCTCACTGCAGTCCCCTTATCATGTGTGCACACACTCGCATTTCCAGCATGACTAAAACCTCCTGGCATAGGGGCATAACTCCTTTTTCTATTTTGTGTGCCATTATATACCTAGCTCAAGTACAAAGCTAGCCTGAAAGCATTGAGGGTGTCAGGGAGTTCAGATTTGAACATTCTAGTTGATTGTTAATGTCCTAGTTCTCTTAGAACTGGGAAGATCCAACTGGAGTCTCTTTGTGAGGGAGTCTTGGGCTTTTCAGTCCTGAAAACTGCCTGCAGGATTGGATATGCATGGACTCAGATTTTTGTCAATATTTTTAAGGTTATTTTCCTCTCTAGATTCTGAAGAAGGGTCCCATTTCCACAGTCTGGCATTACACAGCCTGCACAGACTGTGCTCTGAATCTTTTCCTTGTACCAGCTTTTTCAAACCCCCCAAGACACTGGTAGAGCCCTCTTAAAGAATGGTGAGCCCCAGTTACCATTTTCTGACTGGGTTTTGCCGTTTCTCTTGCCAACACTGTAATACATGGTTTAAAATAATAATGGCTGCTGCTCTTACCAGCAGGGCTTGAGGTGAGGCGAGGGCCTGGCTGAAGGTGCTGGATGGTTGCGTCCTGGTTCTGTAAATGTATTGTTTGCGCCTGTGACACTGGTGTATGCATCCCGGACTCTGTGTGAGTCTCTGAGTCAGATGTGAATGCCTAGAGAAAAGAAAGTTAACAGTGCCTGGTTTCTACATCCCTTCTAACAGGCGTGAGAGAAGAGTGAGCAGGTGCTGTTTCCAAGGAGATTAAATCCTCCTTGATGATGCAGTGAAGAGCTTGCTCTAATGCCTCCAGTATTGCAGCTGGTACCAGCAAGGTGAGGAGATAAGAAGGATCATCCTGCTGGGATGGCATAGACCACACACCCAAAAACTCTTTGACAAGCAAGGAGCTACCTGCAGACTGGTGCAGTTCTAAGGTGGGGGAACAAAGGCATGTGCTAAAGGCTGTTACCTGTTTAGTTGGTGTCAGGTTAGTCAGGGCGCTGAGATTGGCTGTATCTGTTATCACCATGGTTTGTGGTAAGAGGCCTGTATGTGTGTATTGGGCCACTTCAGACTTGGGGCCGTAGAGAGCTGTGCATGAAAGAAAACAAGATCATGTGGATGCTGGAGCCTTGCATGAGACTAGTTTGGCTGAGTTGTTCTCCTCATGCACGTGGACCTGCTGTCTGTCTCCGAAACAGTGGGAGTGGAAGGACAGGGAGATAAATGCAAGAGAAAAATAATTTCATAATTAAAGCAACAATAATAGAAGAGGAAAACAGAGCGCTGCAAGCCCAAGGACCCAGTAAATGCTCCAGAAGAGAGCCTTTATTTTTTGGTTTGCTTGAGCAAATGATTTCACGTTCTTACCGTGAGGGTTCTGTATCTGGGCCATGGTAGCCATGAAGGGGCTCTGGTTGATGTGGCTCTGGACCTGCTGCATGAGGGGCTGCTGGTAGGATGGGTGCAGTTGCTGGGAGAACTGGACGGGCTGCAGGGTAGTGAGGCTGCTCCCCATGCTGTTTATTACAGGTACGCTCTGGGGCTGGGTTGAGGCCAGGCCTGAAAAACAAGGACTGATGACAGTAGTGTCACACACTATGGGAGGAGTGTGGCTGCTCTGCAATAGGGGTGTCTGAAATAGTTGTCATGGCAGGCCTGTTGTCACAGGGTGATTTCGGATCCTGCTTTTCAGGTGTTCCGTTTGTTACCTGCAATTATGAATAGATTTCGTGCCTGTGAAAACGAAGTG